GATTGGTACCTGGCCGAAGATGGGTTTTGGCTTGGTTCAAAAACTTTCCCCTTTACATGTCTTTTCCTTTTCCATTGAGTTCCTTGACTACATAGTACTTGCAGCGCAAGAGGAAATCACGAAAAGCAGGTTCACATTCGACTCTCTCTTTCTTGAGGCGGGAGCTCAGAGAAGGGAATTTTCAGTCCCTTTTTGGAGGCTCTTCATGCATTGGGTCTTCCAACAATGCTGCAGCCGACCCATTGTTGTCATCATTCATTTTGCCTATGGCTGAAGATTATGAAACTGTTCCATCACACACTTCAGCTGAGGCAACTTTAACCAAGAAAAGTTTGAATAATGGCATACCAGAGAGGTAATCAATTTGTTTTCCTGTTCTTTCGGAGGGATTATGTATAAAATTGAACTCATTCTATTGAAGCCACTCTACTATATTAGAAACACGAATTTTAATGACTAAGTTATGAGAGAAAAATGGAAAGAAGAAAATAATAGTCTCCTATAGAATGATAAATCCTCATTTCCATCCGCGTGGAAGTGCATCTCTATTTGTCGTTCTTCCTGGATTTTGCCATTGTTAGATCTTTTTTATTTTTTCAATTGAATTCACTCTTTTGTATACAGAACAATTGAGGAGCCTCCTATGTCTGTTAAAGATAAGGAGGAGAAGGCAAAGCGGAGTGACTTTGTTCAAGGATTGGTGTTATCTATGATGATGGTTGATGATAATTTATAATTCTGGCAAATGCTGCTAAATTATGCGGTGGAAAATGCTGGGGTAACTGCAAGACGGGCCGCCTATTTCGTGGCCAACTATGCCAGGACTTGTATTGAGATGGAAAGCGAAATAAGTTTGTAGCAATAAAATGTAAAATTTATGTTGTTAAATGTAATGGTAGTTTGCAACGGGATTGGATGTGTTTGGTTTCGGTTTTTGGTATTTTATTTTTTTTATTTGGTGTTGTCTCATGCTTCTATGATATTATATTTATGGCATAATAGATATCATGATTTGCATCTTTTAGCTAGACTAAGTAATACGTATAAATTCCATCTTTTAAACAAAGAACTTTACAATTTCGTTATGAATTATGTTCATAAACTTTATTTAATACTTAATATAAATTTTAATTTATATATGATGCATATTTAATTCATTCATGATGCATATTAATGATCTAAATTAGGCCAAACAAAGTAAATATATTTCTCTTCAAATGTTATTAATTTACGGCTTATTTCTATTGATTTCTAGAAGTTATTAGCCACATCACATTAGGACATGACTTATGGTGTCCGGTTGAGTAGGAAAATTTATAATTTATAATTGTTCTCTTATTTATTGAACTAACCACACGTTTATAATATAGATTTAAGTATTGTGTTTTGTAGGAGTTGATGTATTATGATAATGTGATCCAAACAATTATTTGTTCAAAGATGTTTTTAATAATATGCTTACAAATAAAATACAAGTTAGTAGAAAATTAAATACACTAAATTAATTAACAAACTATATCAAAATAACAAAAACTATGTTACTTTCAAATATATTTTAACTTAGAATTAAAAACTCAAATACCAACAAATTAATCTCCTCACAGTAGCTTGAAAGAACTTCCATGCCTATTAACGTTGTTCGCTAGTCGAGGTCGGCATGAGCGAAATCTTGACTTTGCATTTGAAAGATATATGGCATGATATTAAATATTGAACTTTTTGGCATATATCAACAATTTTCATATATGCTTTAGAATAAGTTTTGGCCACTACTAAAAGTATCATATTCCAACAATTCCATACATGCTTAATTTAGAATAGGTTTTGACCACTACAATAAGTATCATATTCCAACATAAGGCTCTGTTTGGCTATTAGCTGATAGCGGATAGGTGATTGTAATACTTATTTGACAAGTCAATTGTATTAGTTGTTCGTATAGTAATTTATCAACAATTTTCATGCATGCTTTAGAATAGGTTTGGACCACTACAAAAAGTATCATATTCCAACAATTTCCATACATGCTTTAGAATAGGTTTTGACCACTACAAAAAGTATCATATTCAATCATAAGACTCTGTTTGACTATTAGCTGATAGCGGATAGGTGATTGTAATACTTATTTGACAAGCAGATTGTATTAGTTGTTTGTATAATAATTGTTTGATAAATAAAAGATTTTATAGCTATTTTGGAAATTTTATATTTACATGTTATTCTATGAATCATCTCTTCTCAAATAGAAGATTGTTATTGTTATTATTATTGAATTCATTCTTTTGCATACAGAACAAAGGAGCCTCCTACGTCGGTCCTCCTGACTTTGTGCAGGGATTGGTCTTATCTAATATCTATGATGATGCTATAATTAATAATTCTGGCAAATGCTGCTAAATTATGCGGTGGAAAATGCTGGGGTGACTGCAAGACTGGCGGCCTAATAAGTTTGTAGCAATAAAATGTAAAATTTATGTTGTTAAATCTAATGGTAGTTTGCAATGGGATTGAATGTGCTTGGTTTCGGTTTTTGGTATTTTATCTTATTTTTATTTGGTGTTGTCTCATGCTTCGGTGATATTGTACTTGTGGCATAATAGATATCACGACTTGCATCTTTTAGTTAGATATTTTAGATGATTTTGAGTAACAGCGTTGTATCACGAAATTTTCTTAAGCTGACCTCCGTTTAGATGATCCAAACTCGAGCAAGTTTTATTCAAGGACTTTAGCTTGATTAAAAAGTAAGTACATTAACAAAAACTTCAAAATCATTTGATAATAACAGCGAACAAGAGAATAAAAGTTTGATTTGGTTGGAGTTTTTTTTACCAACTTTGTGGCTAAATTTTCGCACTGGGTTTACTTACAATTTACTAGTATTTATGTCAAGGGATCAAATTCAAAGATCGTTATGAATGTGAAAACCGAAACTGAAGAATGACGAGCACTACTACAAATGAATAAAGATTTACAAGGTCTGCAGATAGCAAAGCTGCTGAAAAATTCACAACCCAATAAATAGAAAAAGGAAGTGTACTAAATCAATGGCCAGTTTCCTGGAATATGTACCAACAATATATGTCATTTGTCAGTAACCAAAGCTAGTCTATTTCTGTGTAGATGATATCAGACGATTAAAAATCAAATAAATCCTAAATGACGAAGCCCTGAACAGAAAGACATTCGACTGAAAGAATACTAAAAGCCCGAGCAACACACTCAATGCCAAAGCCCACCTAATACCGTAAAGGTCAAGACAGGCTTGCATTTTCTCCTTCAAAGCCGGGACACATTTGTCCAATGGGCTAATCATGGCAGTGGTCACTTGGTAAATAATCATGTCTGTACAGCAGGCATGCAGACAAATCCTGCTCAATGTTCATCTGCAGCTAGAATGGTTTGTGTAAAGGTCCTCAACATGTTCTCAAAGGTACTACTGCCTGTCCTGCCAGAGTTTGCAATTCCCAACCGAACAATAACAAAAAGGGTGAGGTTTTGTGCACAAGCATGAGAAACTCGCATAATTTTCGTACTCGACAACAGAAGACATTTCAGGTTAAGAAATCAAGATGTATATTCCACTGTTAAAGGAACAGCATACAGAAACAGGACAGGCTAAAAATAAATCAAGTAAAACAGGACAGGATCACAACACTTCTCTTTTTTCCTCCTTTTTTCTTTTTGGATAGGAACTCAAACAAAGCAATGAAATATATAGCACAGAACACGACTATTCCAGTTTCAGACAGAAGCAGCCATTTACAAAGCTATAAAACTTACAGGCTTAACGTTAGTTCCACTTACCCGAATTATGCATACCTACAGCACAGTCAACATCGCCGAAGAACCAGTTCTAAATAACTTGTAAAAACTGAAATTTGTTAATACTTCTAAGAAAAGAGTGTCTCACCTCTCTAAGCTGACGAGGTTTCATACTACCATCCGCCCATTTGTTTGCATCCCGTTCAATGATGTAAGTGCTGATGGCTCAAACCCCCAACCCCTCTCCCATTGACTGCAGGAAACCCAGTTTGCGTTAGCCCAACAGAAGACCGAACAGATGACGAAGAAGCTTGACCCTGACGCCAATCCCCTCTACCATATAATAACTGTGCATTAGCATTCCCTCTTCCCTGAGAATACACATTCTGACCAATGGATGACCTGAAAAGATTGATTCCCCCTTCATTACTGTTCGAATTCCGACTCCGATTGTTGAGAAGCTGATGTATCTGCCTCTGTATCCTCCGCCTTGAAGACAGAGTAGCTGCAGTAAGTCCCGAGGCCGAAGGAGCCGCTTGAGTGCTCCAGACAGGATGGATTGGACGTCTGGGCGACTGAGCGGGAGGACTTAGTGGCGTGTCTGGCACATAAGCCTCATTCAGGTCAAATGTCTCACGAACAGCAGCTGCAGACGGTGAACTGGTGTGATTGAGGCCATGGGCATTTGAGGAAGCGAGGGCAGTGGGGCGGCAGCCGTCACAGTACCAGTTGCCGTCAGGGACATTGTGGCCGAGACCTACACAGTATGTGTGTGCAGGGGAGTCACAGAGGTCACAGAGGAGCATGAGGGCATCGTCCCCACCCAGGTGGCACTCGGTGCAGAGGACGTGTTCATATGGGTCGAGGTAGCCCCTTAGCTCCTCTTCGGACGGCTGATAAACCTGTGGTGTGCATTTTATTTACTTTTTGGTTATGTTGGGTAAAGAGGAGCTTGAAGGAAAGAATTGAAGAAAGTTGGAGATTTTCGAACTGATTATTTTTTTCTGTAAAATGGAGTTTTATAATGTATTTCTTATTAACAAAGTTTACACTGTTCACTCATTTTTTACTTTCTTTCCCCCAACAATCACTTTCATAATCAGTAGACTCACACACATTTCACTAGCTAATCATATTCGATCATTAGTACTGTTCTTTCTGTATCTGATCAATTTTCATCATCACGTTTCAATCTCGAATGAAAAAGATTTGTAGAAAGAAAATATTTACAGAATGAAAGGGGTATTCAGTCACAACTTTTAGTTACCTGATCACGCTCGGGAACTGGAAATACAGCATCCGTGGAACCATCAGATCGGGCAGTTCTGCTGATGGTCATAAACCTCTGCTTGCAAAGAGGGCAGCGAGACTCCACCTTTGACCACTCCATGATGCAAGCGAAACAAAAGTAATGACTGCAGCAGTTCAGAATTCCCCTGACTGTTCTCTTCGCCTCTTCCGACAGACAAATCCCGCATACCTGCTTTCCGGCCTCCAAATTCATGTCTGCCACTACCTTCTGCTTGCCCTTTCTTCCAGGCGGGCCCAACTTTTTAGAGGGCAACGAATCCTCTTCCTTAATAATCTTTTGAGAGCTTGAACTCCTTGAACCAGAGGTTGACCTCCTACAGAACTCAGTAGCCTCTCTCACCTGTTCTCTCTCTTCTTCGGAGATGGTGTATTCATAATCCGAGGAACCCGAGCTCATGAAATCGGAATCAGAATTTTTGTTTTTTGATTTGCTTCTTTTGCGGCAGACCCATCCCTTGATGGGTTTCCTTTTTCGTGAAGCAGGCTTCTCACCTCTTGATGCCTTAATGGGTTTGGATCTCCTCCTTCTTCTCCTAGGGACTCGTTTTTTGATGGACTTCCTTCTGGCTCTTTTGGCAACCTCACCTGGACTGAATTCCTCATCATCATTGTCATCGGAATCATTGTAGTCGACATCTTCATCATCAGAATCATCAAAATCGTCATCTTCCATGTCATCTGGATATGAATCTCTTTCTCCGTGATCCTCAATGTAAGAATTGGTGTGGACATCTATTTTCGAGACCCGTGATTTCTTCCTTGGTTTTCCATCAGTCAATTTATCTTTTTCTTCTCTATTAAGGAATTCAATATCGTCCGCACTCTCTTTTTTACGTGAAACCTTATTTTTGTTTCTTTTCTTAATACAAGAGGAATCATAATCAACAAACTTGTCTTCTTCTTCTTCTTCTTCATCATCATTACCATCCAAATAAAAATCCTCATCCTCATCATCCTCATCCTCATCATCATCATCATCATCATCTTCTTCTTCTTCACTATAAACTGCCTTCTTTCTTCTTGGATTCTTGACCTCATTTTTCTTTCTCGTTTCTGAACCCTTACGTGCGCTACGCCTTTCAACCTTCTTAACTTTCTTGTCAACCCATTCTTCCTCCTCCTCGAATTCCCCTAAGCTTTCCTCTAAATCATCCTCGGCCAGAGAAGAACAATATTCATCCTCTGACCCATCAAAGTCTTCACCTTCATCCACCCTATAATCTTCATCAGACTCATCCGAACCTTTCTTCTCTAAATGAACCTTGTTCCGGGTCTTGCGCTTATACCCAATTTTGCCTCCCCTTGCCATCTTCCAATAAACAAAGAATGAGATGAAATGATTCATAACCAAACCATATAAACTAATCAGCTGAAATAAACAGCAAGATACCAAAAAGGACAGGATCAGCCAAATAGCACTCATAATTAACATTTATTGGCTTTCCCTTGTAATTCTTGATATATAAATCCAAAAGGCTACATGCATGCCAATTCTTGTTTCAATCTTCCATGTAGCAAAATTAGCAAGAACTAAGAAACGGTTTTTAGAACAGTAACTCCAGCAAGTTACTGCACCATAGTTTCTATAACATGAGCTGCAAATCAGCTAAGATACAATTATCATAATTGAAATGTATAATTAGCGAATCAGATACTCAGGATCATTTTCATAAATTAAACTAAAGCAGACAAAAGAGGGAAAATAAATCCTATAATCTTCATCCGCTGGATCCATCCATCCTATGCTCTGCCCAGATAAGAAAATGCGAGAAATTTTCAAATATTATACAAATCGATCTGATTACTTCCGGAAATGACAATCCCCAAAAGAACCCTAGATCAAAATCAACTCAGATTTCCACCACTCGGACTCTAATTATTTTATTCAAATCCCAATCAACATAAATTCACATGTTAACTCGCAGAACAATGTTAAGAAACAAAAGCAAAAACAGAAATTTGTGTACATAATCCATTTCGAATAAATTCATATCAATAGACCTAAATGAGATTACTTACCAACAAATTGGGGATGAAATCAATCAGATAACCTTTTATAGGAAAAGAAGATGCAAACTCAGGAAAACCTAAAGAAGAAAAACACCCAAAAAAAAAAGAAAAGGAAACACGAGAGAGTAAGAGAGAGAGGGAGAGAGAGCGAGCGAGCGAGATGAAATACGCTTAAATAAGCCAAAATAAGTTATTGCTTTCGCTCTCAAAATATATGGGTGATATGCAAACGTTAGATAAAAGGGGGTAAAAGATAAAAGGGGGTAAAACTTTAAAATTTCGGAAGAGTTTATTAGGGTGTTCGTTTATCAAATATTTGACTAACGTTTAATTCATACTCAAAATTTAACTCAATTTTAATTTAATCTCATTGTTCTTAATACTAGCATTCGACTCTGTACATTTGCACAAATGTAAAAAAGTATTATAAGTTATTTGTATTTATATAATATTAAAAGTTAAATAATAATATTAAATTTTAAAAATAGAGTACTATATTTATGCATATAATATTAAAATTATAAGTTAGATTATAATATTATATTTTAAAATTTAATCATTGATTAAAATAATTTATATTTATGTAACTTTCATATATCATATATTGTAAAATATAATTAAATAACAAAAATTATATGGTACAATAAAAAATACAATTACTATTCAATTAATATAAAAATATAACGGTTTTTATCTTAATTAAACCCAAAAAAAAGGTGCAAGAAAATATTTTATCATTAATGAGATAGGCTAAATTAATAATAATAATAATAATAATAATAATAATAATAATAATAATAATAATGGATTGTAACAAAAAAGGTGGAACAACAAATAGTTTTATTAAATTTAGTAATTATATGTGTATGTGTATATAAATAATAAAATTGATTTCTAACGATTTTTTACGGAAAACTATAGAGATTTTATTAAATAGGTTTTATTAAATGTTCTTACAGCAATTATATATAGATTATCCATATAATTAAATAATACAAAATAACAATTCTTACACATCACATCAACTTTAATTCTCATTATCTCACTCTTATTTTTACATCTAATCAACTTTAATTATTTATTTTAAATAATATTTTAATATAAATTTAAAATCTAACTAACTAACCATACCACCTTTTTCATTATTAACTTTGGTTACTCAAAGAAACTCATTTTGAATGGATTAATTTGTAAACAAGCACGCCCTTAGCTTTGTTGTGTTGGTAGACATGGTCAAACCCCGGTTTTGGGCCGGGTTTTGGAGGAACCTGAGCTGGCCGAGCGGTTTGGGACCAATTCAATCTGGTTCTGGGCTGCTTCGGCTGGTTTCGGGTTCCGCCCCAGGCAGTTTCTATTTAAAAAATAAAAAATAAAAATTGGGGTGGGGGAGAGTTAAAAAAATTGAACTTGGGCTTAAATTGACATATTATAAGTTAAAATATCAATTAAGCTGAAGATTTTTTTGATTAAAAAAATTAGCAACATGTCAATTAAGTTGTCTATGTATCCCCTACCTCCTCGTAGTTCTCTTACGTTATTTAACTTGATGAAAAATAGATGGCAAGATTGAACTGATGGTATAGTAATCGTAGTCGTAGGTCTCGTAATCCAGAGTTGGCTTTTGATGGACATGAAGAAGTGACTAGGTAGTGCAGGTCTAGGGATGTGTCTAAGCATTCAGTGAAAACTGAGCTACTTTAGATAAGAGGATGGTTGGGGCAAGGGATTGGCTTAGGATGGAAGAGAGTGATGGTATTTGTTAATCTCTATTCTCGAGCTGCTTTTGCTTCTGATATGTATGCTATTGTCGAAGACTTTTTTATATTTTTTAACTCTTTTTTGTTTGTTTATTTATTTGATGTTGCTTTTGGTTCTTTAGTGAGGCCCTTGTGGTCTTGTAGGGCAGTTCTCGTTGAGTTTTTCCCCAGTTTAAGCTTCTGTGTTAGCTTTGTCTAGTGAGGAACTTTTGTAACCCGTTGTTTACCTGATATGTGCATTCGAATTTTTTTAATAAAATTTGATGTTTGAGAGGGAAAAAAAAGTAATCGGATGCTCTCGTATGGGTAATAACTTAAAACTACTACTTATTTAATTAACTAGTAAAATGCACTTGTAATGCACGTGATGCATGGTTAATATTTTTTATAATTTCAAATTATGTATATATGCATTCAAATCTTTGCATTATTATTAATTAATCATAAAAAGAATTAAAACATAACTAATTTGGTCAAATAGTAAAATTCAGCCTATCATTTAATATAACTAGTACAGAGCCCGTGCGATACACGGGGTGCACAATTTTAAGGCTATTTATCCAGGCTTATAGTTATATACATGAACAAAGAAAATGTACAGGATATATATAGTACGTGACTCGTGCGAAGCACGAGATTTATTTATTTGGAGAATATTATATTATAAGATGCAATATTCAATAAAAGTTTATAATACGCAAGAAAATTGTACAATGTTCAATAAAAGTTTTATAATATTCAAGTGGAGTCTTAAGGTCTCTTGTACATTAAGACTACTGACAAAATAATATTTTAATCAATGAGTTTCATTTCCTTGTAGCCAAATTGTGAATGTGATTTGAGGAGTACAACAAATCGATATATAGCTGACTTGCTTTTTTCATTGTAGTTTTTTTTCTTTTTTTTTTTATAATGAATTTAAAGATATTCTAAAATATAGCAAAAATTAATTTTTTTTTATTCCAATTAGAAATTTTACTAAATATAAACTCTCAATCTATGGTGTTAATCAATGTTTAAGTCTAGAAAAATAAGAATTTTTACCTCTTTTAATCAACGTTTAAGTCTAAAAAACAATAGAGTTATTATAAGTTTTTTTTCTACATCTTTTAAAACATTAAATATAAGCATGTTAGAGCTAGCTTGTAAAATAATTAATATATTATCTCACTAAAACATTTATACTAATAAAAATTTAATTTTAGCATATAAATTTATCCCTTGATATAAGAGAAAATAACAGTTTTACTTATTGTTGTTCATCATATAATATTTAATTATTATTTTATTATATAATAAAAAAAAATATTGTTAAATAGTGTAGTATAATTGTTATAAAATTATATGATTTTTTTTTTTACAATATAGATTTAATATTTTTGTATGATTTGATAATATAAACAAACCTATACTTAACTTTGACAAATAAAAAAATAAATAATTTAGTAAGTATTTAATGTATATACTAAATAGGAATATATTTGGTATATTAAATACCAAATATAATCAAATAAGTCAAGTGTACATTTTTATTTGGTATTTGATTTTTTTATTATTAAAATCTTTTTATCATATTTACCTTTTTAAAATAAAACAAATAAATAAATCAATTAAATAAATAAAATAATATAATATCAAAATAGTAATGGCATTAATGCACTTGACTTTTCTGGATAGTAAATGTAGTAAATAGAATCTCCTTTTATATAAGTATAGATTCTATAATACGGAAATAGTAATGCAATAAATGTTGTTGACTTTTCTTTATACTAAATCTGGTAAATAATATAACTTTTAATATAAGTATAGATTGAATTGAAACTAAAACGGTTGTTACAATCAATACTCATTCCATTCATAGAGCAATTTTCACTCATTCCATTCATAGAGCGATTTCATTTCAGTTGTTTGCTCCATAGTGGAGCCAACCTCCTATACATAGCAAGTAAAAAATAACACATTTTCTAATTAATAGAAAACACAATTAACAACTAGTTAAGAAGAAAAATATTATTTATAGTTAAATGATTTTAAATATTATTTTAAATATATTTTCTAATTAGTAGAAAACACACTTAACAACTACTAAAAATATTATTTTCTAATGATTAGAATTTTTAATAATTATAAAATTATCCTTAAGGACCATTATCGTTAGGATACTTAATTAAACTTTATAATATTGCCATCCAAATTTTATTAGACATAAGAAGATTTTAGTCCATGCAATTTTTCACAACATCATTTCTCCTTTTATAATAGTATATATATATATATATATATATATATACAATCAAATCTTTCATATTATTATCTATATCTATATATATATAATAAGAATTATCATTTACTAAAAATAGTAGCAAAAAATTTAGGAAACATTTAATGCATATTATTTTTGGAAACTTTTTAAATATATGCATTAATTGCTTCCATATACACGTTTTCAAATAAGATCAAACAAGATATGATCAAAAAATTATTTAAATAAATGTATTAATATATGTAGTATTTTCATTGATATTTATTATAATAAATTAGA